CGTCGTACGCACTTTTAGAATTCCCGCCCCGCCCCTGGAAACCGAGAGGCGTCTTCGTCCGTTTGTCCCTCTCGCACTCATAGGGTGCCCTCCTGGGTGTGAGGGAGACGCAGCGACGAAAACGACTCTCGGAATCAGTCTGCTGGACGCTGGACAGCCAGGCGTCTGGCCACTCCACTGTGGGGCACTTTGGCTTGCCCCTTTTCTGCTGGAATCCGGGGACTGCGGCCGTTTGGGGTATTTGAGGTATTTGCGCTCGGCGCGGCCGGCGTGTGCGATCCATTAGCACGCGTGCCGTGGAAAGTGGGCCGCCCTGCCATGGCCCTGCCCTGCCGCTGCACTGACAAATGGCTGGTGTTTGTGGTGGTCCTGTGCGTCGCCGTTGTCGTCGTCGGCTGCGGCGTTCTCCACGTCGTCGGCGTCCTCCACGTCGTCGGCGTCCTCCACGTCGTCGGCGTCCTCCACGTCGTCGGCGTCCTCCACGTCGTCGTCGGCGTGGTGGGCGGCCGCGGCATCGTCCTCAGCGGCGCCGTCCTGCCGCGCCGATAACGGACGCAACGGGCGCGCGTTGGGGATGCCCAGGGTCGGCGGCTTCCCCCGCCTCCCTTCGCCGGCGAGGGCGGCGACTGGCCGTTGGCTATGCGTCAGTCTGGCCGTCGTCCCTTCGCCCTCGTCCAGGACTTGCCGGACTTGTGGAGCGGGGAAAGTAGTGGCCTCCAGCCGCGGCGCGCCACGCCGCGCCACGCCGCGCCACGCCACGCCACGCCACGCCGCGCCACGCCCTGATCGCCGAGGTGGCCTCCCACGGCATCGGACCGGCGCGCCAGCTGGGCTCGGCCAAGGACTTCCCGGTGGCGCGAGAGGCGTGGAGCGGCGGCAGTGTAGCGGAGCGTGAAGCTGTCGCGGCTTTTCCGCGTTCCGCGACCGACGAGACCGCGGCCGTGGTGAAAGCGTGGCGCGGCCTGGCTGCCTGACGGCCAGCCTGTGGTGGTCGAGACCCGCGGCAAGGCAAGCCGTCGGCCGGGCTGCCGGGATGTCGGTGAAACGCCGCCGAGGCCTTCCCCGTCGGCAAGGCTGCCCTGCTGCAGACTGATTCTGAGAGTCGTTTTCGTCGCTCTGTCTCTCTCGCGCTTTGACGGGACTCCTTATGAGTGCGAGGGAGTCAGGGCGATAAACGACTCGACTCTCGGAATCAGCATGCTGACGGGGACTCGCCAGCCCACCCCGACGAGTCCGTGATCAAGGACGTGGTGCGGGGAGGAGTCGGAGGAGTGCCTTCTCCGCCGGCCTGCCCGCTTGCCGGCGGCGCGACCGTTGGAGATCGCCTCCCCTGCGACGCGGTGCTCTCGAGAGCGCGCGGCGGTATGGCGCGCCGCGTGCGTCCTCTCCGCTCGCCTCGTTCGTTCCTCGTTTCCGCCCCTTCGTTTCAGAGGGCGCGTGTTTCTCTGCAGACTGATTCCGAGAGTCGTTTTCGTCGCTCTGTCTCTCTCGCACCCATAGGGGACGCCCAATGAGTACAAGAGAGTCAGCGCGACGAAAACGACTCTCGGAATCAGTCTGCTGCTGTGTGTGTCTGTGCGTCAAGTGGCTTGCAACCGGCGTGCCTCGCTCCGCGCCATCTCCACGCCCGGCCCGCGTACCCGTCTATTGAGTTTGCAGACTAGTTGGTGCCGCCCCTGGCGCTGCCCCGGCCGCCCCGCTCCCTTCGCCCTTCGCCGCGGGATTTCCTCGTCCTTTGTCCTTTCCTTGCTCTCGCTCGGAGGGGAAGGCGGGAGAGAGACGCTGGTATCGATCATGAGCTGCTGCAGCAGAGGGCGCGTGGAGGTGGCCGCGCCGCCGCGCCCCGCGCAGGAGGGCGGCTGGCGGTGCGGTGCGAGCGGAGCGACGCGGGGCGCGCAGTGGCGGTATTTTATTCCGCTCCGACTGCGAATCGGGGCGCCCCGGCGTGGCGGTACACTGCCATGGACGCGCTCGCCGTCGCCGTCGTCACCGTACTGCCGCTGGTTGTGTTGGTGTGTTTGGCTTTGTTGGCGATGTCGCGGCCGCTGCGGGCTGTGCGTCGCTCTGTCTCTCTCGCACCCTTACGGGACGCCGCATGAGTGCGGGAGGGACAGAGCGACGAAAACGACTCTCGGAATGAGTCCGCTGGCATGCCGTCGGCTGCTTCGCGCTTCGCGTCGCGGTTGCCTTGCCGCGCTGCACCGCGACGTGCTCGCCGCCTCGCGGTGTGGCGGCGCGGCGGCACGCCTGCCGGCAAAACGCGACGTGGAGGTCCGCGTGGACCGTACTGCTTGGACCGCGAGCGGCGGCGCGGTGCCGCGGTGGTGAGGCGCTGGGCCCCGCCAGCGGGAGGGGGCCCGGGAGGGGGCAGGGCGAGTGGAGGGGGCCGGCAGGCGTAACGGCTCGTGTGAAGGTCGCGGCGGGGCGCGGGGCGGGGCGCGGGTATCGCCTGCTGCCGGCGCTGGCGCGCCGTGGCGGTCGGAGTGTCGGACGTCCGCGATGACCGCTGCCTCGTGCTGCAGGTCGCGTGGATGGCGCGGCGAGGCGCGGCGAGGCGCGGCCTGGCGGGGGTGACCTCGGTGCTCTACCTCTGCGGGGCGTTGCGGGCGGCGCGGGGCTCCTCCCGTCGGCAGGCGCGTGCCGTGTGGGCGGCGCGGGCCGCCGATGACGACGCCCACGGGGCCGATCCACGCATCCTCGCCAAGACCAGCGGCGCCGCGGCCGGCACACTCATTCCCAGCGTCGCCCTCGTACGGCGCGCTGTGTGGGTGCGAGAGAGACGGAGCGACGACAGGGACTCTGGGAATCAGTCAGCAAGCCGCCGTGTGACACACTGTGACACGTGTCGCGGCTGGACGACGGCGTCGGGACCGACGCGCCCAGGCCCAGACCGACGGCGTTATCGGGTTCGGAGCGGTCTGCGGCTTTCCCTGTCGGTCCCTGTCGGGCTCCCTGCCTGCGGAGCGGACTGATTCCGAGAGTCGTTTTCGTCGCTCTGTCTCTCTCGCACCTGTACGGGACGCCACATGAGTGCGGGAGAGACAGAGCGACGGAAACGACTCTCGGAATCAGTCTGCTGCCGCCCCGCGCTCCGCTCCCCTCTGCGCGTGACGGCTGCCGCGGCCTCCGCCCCCTTCGCCTCGCTTTGTGCAGTCCCCCTTTCACCCTCCACTTTTATCGCCCCCCCCTCCCCCACCCTGTAATAATTTCCCCTCCCGGCGGTCGTCGGTCGTCCTGGTGCCGGATAATGACTGGACTGACTATTTTCCCGGCGTGGCCGGCAGGCCGGTTGTCTGTCTCTCTTCTGCTTCCGACGCGGCCCGTGTACGGTGCGAGAGAGACGGCGAAGAAAGCTCTTTTCTGGCGGTTACGTCTAGCAGAGCGAGCATGCCGGCCGGTAGGCTGATTCCGAGAGTCGTTTCCGTCGCTCTGTCTCTCTCGCACCTGTGCAGGACGCCCCGCGAGTGCGAGAGAGACAGAGCGACGAAAACGACTCCCGGAATCAGCCTGCAGACCCTTGGGGCCCGCGACGTCCGCGACGGTCCGGGAAAGCTGCGCCGTGACGCCTCCATTTGCATTTCCAGCCGCCCGGGGCCGAACCGCGCTCTCGTCGCTCTGTCTCTCCCGCACTCGTGGGGCGTCCCGCACAGGTACCGAGCGAGTGAGAGAGAGAGAGAGAGTGAGAGTGCGCGCGCGCGTTTGGCGAAACTCGTGACTCCTTTCTCCGCTGCTTGCGCTTCTTTCTTATTCTCTGTTTTCCCCGCGTTATCACACAATTATTTTCTTGTCCGCGCCTCCACCGCCACGGCGCGCCACCGCCCGGGCCCCGGGCTTTAGAGCGGAGATTGAATGGGCGAGGAGCGCAGCGAGGGCGCAGCGCGGAGAGAGAGAGGGAGAGAGAGAGGGAGAGAGAGACAGAGAGAGAGAGAGAGAGAGAGGGAGAGAGAGGGAGAGAGAGGGAGACGGAGAGGGGGCAACAGGGTGCCCGGTCAACGACCGGCAAATCGCCCCGCTGCCGCCGCTTCTCCGCGTAGAGTCCTGCCGCGGCTGCGCTGCGCGCGTCACGCCGCGGGGTCCTGCGTGGAGGAGACCCGTCGCTCTGTCTCTCTCGCACCTACACGGTACGCCCCATGAGTGAGAGAGAGACGGAGCGACGAAAACGACTCTCTGCGGGAGTCTGCAGGATGACCACACGGTGAACGAAAATCCAGAACTCTCGAATTTTCCATCCTTTCTTCTGATTGATGTCCCCGCTATTCGTCGAAGTAGTTCTCTATTCAGGATTTTCGTGCATCGTTCGTCGCGGCCTCGAAGTGTTATTTTGGTCTCTAACAGGGTTGCCACAAGCCTGGAAAACCTTGAAAACCTGGAAAAGTCAGTTATTTTGAAAACGGTCAGGGAAGTCAGGGAAAAGTCAGGGAAAATGAAATGGAGTCAGGGAAAAACGGACTAGACACCTCTAGACACCTATTTCGTTCGTAAAATTCATTATTTATTCTACCCGACTGCTTAAAAAGGGCCCAAAAAAGTCAGGGAAAAACAGGGAAAAAGGGTCTGGAAGTCAGGGAAAAGTCAGGGAAAATGAAAATTTCATTATTGTGGCAACCCTGTCTAACCACCATTCTTTCTCGAAGTTTGGACGTGATCTTCACCAAGTCATGGTCGGCCGTCACGGTGCTCCCTCCCCTTAGAGTAAAGATGGGCCTTTCTCTCTCTCTCCTGCGGTGCGTTGGAAAAGCCGGGGGGTAGACCACGGCGGGACGGGGGTCGTAAATAGACGCTCCCCTCGGCGCTGCTAGGCGCTGGTAGACGCGGGTAGACGCGACGCGCGTAGATGCCGCGGCCGTCGCGGCCCGACGGGGGGATTGGGATCACGCCCGTGTTCTTGTGTCTCTGTGTGCGTGCGTGTCCGTGTGTTGTGTGTGTCTGTGTGAGTGTTATCATCGTTGTTGCGGCGCCAAGACACTAACCGGGCCCTTCTCTGCTTCTGCTTGTTGCAGGCTGCCGGTGGTGAGCGACTGTTCGCCGCCGACGGCTCGCGTCACCTCCAACCATACGGGATCCAGCATGGCTGTGTCCCGCGTACCGAGCCCAGCGCCCCCTGAAGTCAACACGCCGGTGGCCGAGAACTGGTGTTACACACAGGTGAGGTTATGGAACGATGGTTGCACAGTGTATTGGCAAGTCGCTTCGCCCCCTTGCTGGCCGTTGCTGCGAGTCGCTCTGTCTCTCTCGCGCCTGTATGGCACGCGCTGTGAGTGCGAGAGAGACAGAGCGACTGGCGTGTGGCGTGACGGCTGCACCCCTTCACGCTCCGCCCCTTCGCTGCGGGCTGCCGCTGTCACGATCAGTGGCGGGGCAGTGGCGGGGCAGGGGCAGGGCAGGGCGCGGCGTTGTGAGTGTGTTTCAGTCCCTTCAGTCCCCCGCGGCCTTCAGGGCCACGCCGTGCCGCGCCTGGGGCGAGGGCGGCGGGGGTGCGGGGGTGGAGGCGCGGGGCGGGCGGGCGGGGCGCGGCGCGGTCCCGGGTCGATGAACCCGCACGCGGTACACGCGGCATCTCTTTCCCCGGCGTCGGGATGCACCCCGGCCTTCCGATCGCTCGGTCGCTCTGTCTCTCTCGCGCTCCTACGGGACGCGCCATGAGGGCCATGAATGCGAGAGAGACAGAAGGAAGGCCCCGGCGGCAGGCTGGCCTGGCCTAGGCTGGTCCGGCGGCAAGGGCGGCGAGGGCGTCGCAGTGACACGGTCGGAGGGCGTCCAGCCAGCCAGAGTCCAGCAGACTGATTCCAAGAGTCGTTTTCGTCGCTCTGTCTGTCTCTCTCGCACTCGTGGGGCGTCCCGTGCATGTGTGAGTGAGACAGAGCGACGAGAACGACTCTCGGAATCAGTCTACAGGCCCGGGCGCGGGCGGCCCAGGACGGCGTCCATAGCGCGGCCCACGCGCACGGGGTCTCCCCTCCTGGCTGCCTGGCAAGGCCCATTCATCAATGGCTGCAGGCTGATTCCGCGCAGTGCCCCTGACGTCGTCTCTCTCGCATTCAAACGGGACGTCTCATGAGTGCGAGAGAGACAGAGCGACGGCATCGTGTTCAGAATCAGCCTGCTGCCTGGCGTGCTGGCCGGTCGCACACCGACTCGGTCCCCTGCAGACTGATTCCGAAAAGACTTTCAGCGGCGCGTTGTTTCTTTCGCATTCATGAGGCATCCCGTTTGGGTGCGAGAGAGAGACAGCGCGACGAAAACGACTCTCGGAATCAGTCCGCCGCGGGGCCAAACTGCGTGTCCGCCTCGCGGTGTTTCCCTCGGGTTTTCTCCCCGGAAAGAAAAGCGACGTCCTGGCGTCGGCGCCGCGATGCAGCACTTTGTTGCACTGGCCTTGACACTGGCCTTTACTCTGGCCGGGCTGGGGTCTTCAACCCGGCGGCCGTCTCCTTCTAGCCGATAAGGCGAAGCGGGATAGACATAGTGAGGCGCGCCGCGCCGCCGCGGATAGAAGCAGCCGACGCGCCCTCCCCTCCCCTCCCCTCCCCTCCCCTCCCCTCCCTAGACCGATTGAGGGGGGCGTGTCCTCGGTATTTATGGCTGCGCCGAGATGCATAGAGGGCCGGCATGTTTGAAGCAAAGCGGTTAGAAGCTAGCTAGAAGAATTGGCGGGCTGGGGATAGACGCGGCTCTGTGCTGGTGGAGGTGGAGGCCCTTGTTGTGGTGCAGCAATAAAGGCTGGAATGGAGGGGCGGGGTGAGGGTGCACGCCGGCGGGGGCACCCTCACTGTACTCGGCGGGGCGCGGGGTTGGCTGGGGCTGGGGTTGGCCGATGCTCTCCAGGGGGCATTGTCCTCGGGATTTTATTTGACTCTTTTTTCAATACGAATGAATCCGATGCAAATGCCACCCTTCCAGTCAATTCATGTTGTCGTTACTTTGCTGTGCTGGCAAAGTTCCAACTTAACTGCTCCCCTCAGTATTTCTTAGAAAAAAAAGTTTTTTTTAAAAAACACTAAGTGTGGTGCTCTTTGTAGCTTGATGTGTTGTACTAATTTTTGAAATTGAATTGTGTGTTGCAGGTCAAGGTGGTCAAATTTAGCTACATGTGGACCATCAATAATTTCAGTTTCTGTAGAGAGGAGATGGGAGAAGTCCTTAAATCATCAACTTTCTCAGCAGGAGCTAATGATAAACTAAAATGGTAAGGATGACCACAACAATTTGCCGACACATTGCTTTTATTTTTTATCATAACTAGTTTATAATTGTTGTGCTTATTTATTTCAGGTGTTTACGAGTAAATCCTAAAGGATTAGATGAAGAAAGTAAAGACTATCTATCATTATATTTACTCCTAGTCTCATGTAACAAATCAGAAGTTCGAGCAAAGTTTAAATTCTCCATATTGAATGCTAAGAGAGAAGAGACCAAAGCAATGGGTAAGTTTCTTATGATTTTTGTACTTGTTTCCCCTGTGTCATATACAGGAGTTTTACGGACAACATTTACTCATCACTTGGACATTCTTAGCAATATTTAGTAATATTCAAATTTTTCATTGCAGAGAGCCAACGGGCATACAGATTTGTACAAGGGAAAGACTGGGGTTTCAAGAAGTTCATCCGTAGAGATTTTCTGTTAGATGAAGCTAATGGGTTGCTCCCAGATGACAAGCTAACAATTTTCTGTGAGGTAAATAGCAATGGTTCTTTTCATGTCATATTTTCTCCATCAAAACTTAAATTTATTAAAGGGTTTTTTTTAATTTACTGATGAAACTTTGCATTTGCAGGTGAGCGTTGTAGCAGACAGTGTTAACATCTCTGGACAATCAAATACAGTACAGTTCAAGGTTCCAGAATGTCGGTTGTCTGATGACATGGGCCTTTTATTCGAGAACCAAAAGTTTAGTGATGTCACTCTCTCTGTGTGTGGGAGGGAATTCCAGGCACACAAAGCCATACTAGCAGGTAGTTACACAATTTCTTTTAGCACACGACCTTTGTTGTAATTACCTGATTATGTTGTATTAAACCTTAAAAAATTGATTTTATTGTAGCACGGAGTCCAGTGTTTGCTGCCATGTTTGAGCATGAAATGGAGGAGAGGAAGCATAACCGTGTTGCCATAATGGATGTGGACCACGAAGTGTTGAGAGAAATGCTCAGGTTCATATACACTGGCAAAGCCACCAATCTTGAAAAAATGGCTGATGATTTATTAGCTGCTGCAGACAAGGTATTTTGTTTTTTTCTTTTCAATTAGCATTTAAATTCATTCTGCTAGATTGTACTGACATATTCTTTTGACTTTGCAGTATGCACTAGAAAGGCTAAAAGTTATGTGTGAAGAAGCCTTGTGTACAAATTTGTCAATAGACAATGCTGCAGATACCCTAATACTTGCAGATCTGCATAGTGCAGACCAATTAAAAGCACAAGCCATTGATTTTATCAATACGTGAGTATTCAGAATTTTCATATCTAGTTCCAAATTTTAATCTATTCACAGGTGTCACTTTCAAAATTTTTATCTTACTCAAAATGCTTTTCTTAATGCAGGCACGCAACAGATGTCATGGACACATCAGGCTGGAAGGCAATGATCCAGTCACATCCCCACCTTATCGCAGAAGCATTTCGAGCTCTTGCAACACAACAAATACCCCCTGTCGGCCCTCCACGAAAACGTGTCAAATCCAGCTGAAGGCAGCCGTCTGTGGTGGGGGACCCCAAAAAGTGTTGACTCTTCTCGGACGATGAGCTGTGGGCCAAAGCCTGATGTTCGTCTTGCAGCTGCACCGTCCAAGCAACTCTACCCTCCACCCCAGATGTGGCCTTACTGGACTGTTCAGTGCCACTTATTGCCAGTAGTGCTGGCATCCGTGTGATGCTGACCTCCCTAGACCTGTGCTAGATCTCCCCAAGCAATAAAACATCTCTATTGTGGACCTCTTGCTTTTGAGTACAACTGTGTGACTAGCACACCTGTGTAAGAATCACAAATTATTTTTTTCCTGTATGAACTTTTTGTTTTGTTTTTTGTTTAAGGCGCCACCTGTATTTAAGGAATAGTGTTCCAACTTATTTGTAAATCCTCTCTCTGCCAAAGCCTTATCTTCCTTTTTAAATGTCTTAACATGGCCCCAGTACAGACTGCTGTATCCCATGACTGCGAATGCTAGCCATGCGCCTTTCGTTAGCATTGAGGTGCAGTTTTCTGAGGAGGAACTGTGGTCTTTCGAATGAAGTCAGGCAGCAGAGATATGGCTGTGGGTATGTTTCCCCAGCCTGTGGCTCCCTGGCCGTCTGGACCAGATCTTACTGCATTGTGTGTGATATATCAATGGTGGCATGTACTTCACTTGTTTTAGCTGTATTGACATTAGTTTTCAAAATTGTTGTTTGGCATAATGTTTTTATTCTTAGGAATTCCTGTGTTCCAATGTTTTTTTATTCGCTAAATTTGTGAAGACAGTTTCAGTTTAATGGACATTCAAAGTGCATTTATGTATGTGAGTTTCATTTTGTCCAAATTTCTAAAGTGCTCAGAACAGAACATCATTTGTAGCAAGTGGAAACATGTTAATGGTGTAGTGGTTTATTTTAATCACCTCACTGCTTACATTGAAAATTTCTGTGATTTAATGTAGTTTAAAGAAGAGATTACTAATTTGAAAGCTGTTGATAATCAAAAGCTTTTCATAAGTAAATGCTTGCGTGGACATTGTGAAGGGCTCAAAGTGTTCAGGGGCCCGTCCATTGCAAGTAGGCACATGATTTTGAGAGGGTCTTTTGAGGGCTGGTCATCTGTTCCATGTAGAATGATGAGGCAGAACGAGTGCGATTTGGTGGAGGCAGCCTGTGTTAAATAAACTGTATATAGTTAGCAAAGGTGCATCCTAATTTGAGCTGGGGCCCCTTTTGGCCTTTTTTCATGCCCTGTAAATAACAATTCAGAATGCATCTTTGCTCAATAGAATACATAAACCAACCATTGATCTCTTAACCAGTTTTGCCTCCAATTTGATTCAGGAGTGTAATCAATCAATGTTACCTCACAACATTAAACATTATATTTGTTCAATTTTTTAATGTTTTTTTTTTCTTTTTTTTTTGCTGTAAAATGCTTGTGACTTTCCTAAGGACATAGAGTGAGCTGCAAAAAGTGGGTGTGAATGTCAGATGTAGAGTATGTAGAGAGTGTCTGTGTGTGTGAATGCGTGTGTGTGCATTACTACTCTCTAGTATTGACTCATTCAATGATCACTTCGTTCATTGATTGTTTGTTTATCTGCATATATGTCAAAACATGGCTGTGTCAATTAGTCTAATTTCTGATATCACATCTGTGTTTTTACAAATTTGCAAACGAGAGTTGTAAATGGTTCCCATGTATACATGTGTTCGAATGGGCTTTTTGCATCTGAGTAGGTTTGTGAAAGTTAGCCTTGTTGTTTCCCTTCTTTTTTTTTCCTTTTTTTTTCGAATACTTTGATTTGGTCTGAGTAGATTAAGTGTTGGCACGCGGTGGCATCAGCGCCAAACAATTCATGGTATGAGCAGCTGCTCCAGAGTGATTTGTAAACAGTCAATTTTCAGTCACTATTAGAATAAATGAATTTCCTTTCCCAAGTTCGATTGCAAGGTTGTTGGTTTCCAGCTGGTATATTTGATTCAACCATAGCCGTATGGCTACTTATTAATTTACAATTGTCACAAAGTGTTCTCTGATGTATATATTACGAGTATTAGAATGAATTGGTTGACATTCACATTGTACCTTAGTGGAAGTGGCTTAGCCATTATCCATGAATTACCAAAGATTCAAAGTGAAATGTGAATATTACCGCTGTTGATGATGAAATGTTACGGTAACCAGCAGCCTTGTCAACTGATGTATTTTTGATTGAGAACACAGATTGTAATGATTCAAGGAGAAGTTCCCTGCTAAATGGAGTACTGCTCTTAAACATGAGGCAGGACTTGCATCCAAGCTTGCTGAGCAGTAAATGCAGCATCTCTGCCCTTGTTGGAAACCGTTCCCCATTGTTGCAATGGCCTGCCCAAAAACACCTGTATGCCATAACATGTACTGTGATAACCGTTTTATTTTTTCCTCTTAAACTGGATTTGTTTCCTTGTTCATTGTAAGTAAATGCCCACCTCGACATAACTTCCGTTAAAATGTCGGTATCACGGCAGCACTAAGTGAATAAATTGTCTGCTGTGTGGGATTTTCACTGTGCAAAGTAATGTTTGAAATTTTAGATTTAAGTGTGAATTAAAAAAAAATGAACATTCACTGTATTTATGCCTTTTTACTTACCTTCAATAGGATACACTCAATAAGAAAAAGAAATGAAACATGGTTATAAACAAGGTTTTATTAGAGACCTTTTGCATCATCTTATTTCTTTAAGCTATACTATGATCACAAAATTTCCTTATTTTAATTAATTTTAACAATAATGATTTATAATTGCAAAGTAACACACTGCGAAGTAGCACATTATCACATTTAATAGTCTTTAGTACAATCAGACAATCACAATAGTTGCAACGGGGTGGACAACTTTGGGATACAAAAATAGTAGAGGGATTAGGATCATTAAAGAAAAAAATGATCTTACATAAACTGAAGAGGCTACCTTGGGCTCACATTAAGTATTCATTTTTCACTTGTTGAAGAATTCTAATACCTAAGCTAATCTCAAAAAGATTTTTGAGGTAAACAAATACTGAAGTCAACACATTCATATTGGACTTAAAAGTCCATAGGTCCGTTTGGAGGGTCCAGCCCGCTTTAAAATCACAGTCGCTTTGGGGGAAGACTAGGGTTCTGGCAGGGTGACGAGGACGAGAGAAGAAAAGGAGAAGGAGTACTAGAGAGCGCTGCTGCGCTTCGCTGCGCGAGAGTCGCCTGCTGGGTAGGCCACCCAACTAACACCTCTGCTCTGTGGCTTGAGGCTCGTCGCGGCGTGGGCGCCTCCTTCCCGCGTCTTGCGGTGGACGGACGGGGCGCGGGCGCACGAGAGATCATCACAGAATACGTTCAAGACCCCTTCAAAGCTTTAAGCCAGACGTTTGCACGTCCTCCCAACGGGGTCAACATTCCACCCGAAACGTCAAACTTCGGCCCGGCCAGGTTCCGCGCGGCTGGGCCATGTTGACACAGTCAGAGAGCCCGAGGTGGCCGGATCCGGAGGACACCGGGCCGAGCTGCAGACTGACTCCGAAAGTCGTTTTCGTCGCTCTGTCTCTCTCGCACTCATGGGGCGTCCCGTAAGTGCGAGAAAGACAGAGCGACGAAAACGACTCTCGGAATCAGTGTACTGCGTGAGGCTCGTGGCCGTCGTCAACAAGTACTGGTCCACAGGACTGGTCTGTCGACGGCGGCGGCCGCGGGGTCCCCCTCGGCCAGCATCATCTCCTTGAGAGCCACGGCCTGCGACACCGTCAGCAGGTCCACGCCGGCGCCCGCGGCCAAGGGCAGGAACGAGGAAGACGAGGAGGAGTCGCAGGAGGCGAAGGACGTCATGGACGACGTGGGCGAGGAGGGAGGCGTCGAGGCGGTGGCGAAGGTCGAGGGGCAGCCCGAGGACGAGGCCGCGAACGAGGAGTCCGAGATCTCCGGCGAGGGTTCGAACGGGTCGAACAGCGAGGGGCAGATGGGGTCCGGCAGCGAGGCGGAGCGCGTGCTGCGCGCGCCCGAGGCCGCGTACGCCGAGGCCGAGTACGGCGGCGGGTCCTCGGCGTCGCCCAGGAAGCAGGGGTTCCTGTAGCAGCCCGCCTCCGCGCCGTCCGCCATGGCCTCCGCGGAGTACAGCGGCGGCGGGATGTTGTCGGCCACGGCCGAGGCCGCAGCCCTGGTCTGCGAGGCAGCAAAGGCACCGTCATTTGTTTGTCGACTTGTAGCTCCTGCAGACTGATTCCGAGAGTCGTTTTCGTCGCTCTGTCTCTCTCGCACTCATGAGGCATCCCGTATAGGTGCGAGAGAGACAGAGCGACAGAAGGAGTCTCGGAATCAGTCTGCTGCGCGGAAGGGCGCGGCGCTTACCCTCGGGCAGTAGGGGCCGGCCATCTGCCTCTCGTTGACGACGACCTCGTAGGCGGGGGGCTTCTCTGCCTCCGTGACGGCGGCCGAGATGGTGGCCGGGCCGGCGGCGGGCTGCGAGGGCGCGGTGTGCGCGGACGACGAGGAGGCCGCCGACACCATCTCCTCGTAGCGCGGCGGCCGGTCGCGGAGGCGCTCGTTGATCCAGCGCTGCATGGAGCTGACGCTGTCCGCGTCGCCGTCGCCGAGCCGCCTCGCGGGGTTGGCGGCGTGCATGCGCCTGGAATCACACAGCACAACGCCCGTCAGCGACCGGGCACCGGGCGGGGCGGGGCGGGGCGGGGCACAGTGCACAGTGGGACAGAAGACCGGTGGAGCGGCGAAAATTCGAGACGCGTTTTGAGCTTTAAAGTCGCTAAATGGGACTCGAACCGAACGTGTGACACCACCAATGGATTGCTCTCGGAACGAGGAATCCATTGGTGGGGTCACATGGTCGGTTCGAGTCCTTTTCAGCGACTCTGGAGCTCAAAACGCGTCTCGAATTTTGGCCGCTCCACCGGTCTTCTGGCCCACTGTGCAGTGGGTTCCAGAAGACCGGTGGAGGCAGCTAAAATTCTGCACGCGTTTTGAGCTCAGTAGCTAAATGGGACCTGAACCGAACGTGTGACCCCACTAGTAGATTGCTCTCCGAACGAGGAATCCACACTGAAAACCTAAGGGCGGTAAAATTACCACTTTCGAGGGCGGTAATATTGCTACGGGCGGGATCCATTTTTTACCACCTTTCCAAGGGCGGTACAAAAATTACCACCCTTTGAAGGCAGTAAATTTACCACCTTTCACAGTTGTATCGCCTTGAATATTCCTTTTGGAGGGAACATTTAAGGTGGTACAGCTGTGAAAGATGGTAAATTAACCGCCTTTAAAAAGGGTGGTAATTTTTTACCGCACTTGGAAAGGCGGTAAAAAATGGATTCCGCCCGTAGAGGGCGGTAATTTTTTTTACTGCCTTTGTAACGCCATGTGTACCGCCTTTCAATTTTGGGTGCATTGGTGGGGCCACAAGTTTGGTTCGAGCCCTGTTTGGTGACTCTGGAGCTCAAAACGCGTCTAGAGATTTCTGGCCGTCTGCGCCGGTCTTCTCGCCCTCTGTGCAGTGAGGTGGCTTACTTGATGAGCATCTTGCAGGCCAGCATGGCCGTCACCGCGACCACGAAGCACACGCCGATGGTGAGGGCCAGCGGCATGAGCTCGGCCATGGGGCTGGGCTTGAGAGAGCACGTCCTGGAATACAACAACGAAAAAACGCGGTGAAAAGTGGCAGTGCGTTTTGCACCTGTTTTTTTGGAGCGGCCATCTCCCCGCGAGTCCGACCGCCCCGCAGGGCCGCCCGCCAATAATCGCAACGTCGATAAGATTATTAATGCCGGCCGCGGTGGCGTGACGTCACACGAGGAAAGGGCCGCGTCGTGCACAACGCGGACGCGAGCAAGGACGAACTCAAGTCCTGCCAACTTGGTGGAAAGAAATCGCGGATTATCTGCGTAGAGGACGCGGCCAAAACTCTAGACGCGTCTTGAGCTCCAGAGTCGCTGCACAGGACTCGAACCGAACTTGTGACCCCACCAATGGATTCCTCGTTCCGAGAGCAATCCATTGGTAGGGTCGCCTCCACTGTGGGCCGGAGGAGGGAGGACTCGATCGGTAGGGTGGAGATGGAGTAGCACTTTTTGTCTACTAAGGGTGAAGTATAGCGCCTACATTTGTTCAGGTACACCTCCTCCTCCTCCCCCCCCCCACAAGCGCCCGCGCCCGCCCGCACGCACGCACACACACACACATACACACACACGCCCGACAGGGCGCCAACCTGTGGCATCACCCCCACAATGTACTTACCCATCTTCGCAAGAATATTCTTCGAACGTCCCATTATCTGCAAAACAAACCCCAAGTTAGGTCTGTGAGATTTTCCAAGGCGCGTCGAGATTTTTGATGCGAGAGAGGAGGGTAGAGATTCACGTTTTGGGGGCGTACCTGTAGGAATGTAGCACTTGTAGTTGGTCGGCAGGGGGTAGTCGCAGGCGCAGAAGCCGTTGACGCAGTCCTGCAGGACGTCGCAGTCGGACCTCCACTCGCAGGGGCGGCGGGCCAGGCACTCGGCGTGCCCCTCGCAGAGGTCGTAGTCCAGTCTCCAGCCTGCCAAAAGAAGCCCACTCGTCAACAACTAGATTCCGAGAGTTGTATTCGTCGCTCTCTCTGCAAACTCAAGTGTGTGCCAGGCATGCACTTCTTGGTGCATGCCTGCAGGCACACACTTCCTGGTGCATGCCTCAGGCACACACGTGCTTGTATACACGCACAAGCGACGGCAAGTGTGTGCCTGCAGGCATGCACCAGGAAGTGTGTGCCTGCAGGCATGCACCAGGAAGTGCATGCCTGGCACACACTTGAGTTTGCAGAGCTGCAGAGACATGTCTCTCTCGCACTTCTACGGGACGCCCCATCAGTGCGAGAGAGACAGAAAGACGAAAACGACTCTCGGAATCAGCTGGCCCTTGCCTGGCCTAGAGGGCAGCTTCGACATCGAGCACGGCAGATGGCGCTGCGAGTGCCTTGTGGTCGGCCGCTCGCGGGTCTGCCCCGTGGACCGGCCAGTTTGGGGTGTCCCCAGTTTGCTCCAGAGGAGTTGTAGTCCACGAGTGTAATTTTGAACCATTGTCGGTGGGGGGCAGCGCTCCGCAGCGCTCCGTGACTGTTCTCTTGCAGCATGAGAGATGCTCCAGGGCTACGCCAGCGGGGGTGAACTGAGCGGCCAAGACTGGCACTGGTTTTGTTCTTGTTCTTGCTATTGTTGTGACGTCAGTACCGAAAATCCTGTAGGGCCAACAGCGGCTACGCTGTGTCGTCCACAGTCGGCGCATAGAGCCGTCGTTCAAGTCCGTTGAACATATACCAGAATTCTTTGATTGATGACGCACCAAATCAGGACAATAACAGACACTCGATATGAAAGTCCGCCAATTTTAGAATAATGGTACGATATTTGAGAGGTAAACTGGGAAAAATATTAATCATGGCGGGATTTGAACACATGATGTTTTCGTGGCCGTCATGACCTCAAGCAACCGAGCCACCGCAGCACCAGAGCGCAGCACTTGCTGCAAGGCGCCCGAACTGACACTCATCGCACTGGATTGCAGAAGTTACCTGGGATGAAGATAGGCAACCAACAGTGCAGTCCACCTGTAAGAAGGCAAAACGTGTGACACGCCCGTGAGGACGGCCGACTCCCCCCTCCGCCAGCGCCCCGCCCCGCCCCGCCCCACCTCGCCCCGCACCGTGCGGCACGTCAGCGGTTACTTTATCAGTCAAGTCATTACGCTTAATCTCAAAACAAAGACGGCCGCCTGCCTTCGCCTTCTCCGTCTTCGAGCAGGTCGCTGCGTTTGTTGTTCCAGTTTGCAGTGCGGTGGCGGCAGTGGCGGGGATTCCCTCGGCGGGCCGTTCGAAGGCAGTCCAACGCTGCGGGGCTCGTGCACCCCGCATCAAGCCCCTGCACTGTGCGCTCTAGTCCGCCTAGAGTCACCGCGCTTCCTGGTAAAACTAACTAATGCGTAACATTACGCTCCGAGAAGGGCGTACTGGTCGGTCGTGCTCCTTTCTTGAAGTGTACGTACAGAGGAAACTTCCCCGTGCATTTAGATAGGAGGAAAAGGGTGGTAACGCTCCTGGCCGCTTGAAGAAAGTGTTGTAACGTCACGCCTTAGTTTTGCCTCCGTAAAGTGGACGATGTTTTCGATTCCGAAGCGTCAGCATAGGGATTAGTACTCATCATCACAACAACAACAACAACTCCGCGCGGAAGAAGAAAGGTGCCAGTCGTTCGCAAGAGTTACATCATGTGGCCAAATGTGTCTAGTCCTGTCATTCCCTGCCGCCTGCTGTCCGATAGGCGCTATCTGCGGCCGAAGACAGGCGAGCCAATCCGTAGACCCACGCGCCGTGTCCGTCCCTAAGGCTGCCAAACAGTGCGGACTTGCATCCGGTGTGGTAGGCTGGGTCGTCGTCCCTCGGAGAGTCCTCGCTCTGTCTCTCTCGCACTCGCGGGGCGCCCCGTTTAGGTGCGAGTAAGACAGAGCGACGAAAGCGACTCTCAGTCTGCAGAGTCCTGTACGGCCCCAGTGACACAGGTGTCCGTCCCCTCCCTTCGCACAGTGGGCCCAGAAGACCAGTGTGGAGGCGGAGGTGGTCAAAATCCCTGACGGGTTTTGAGCTCCAGAGTCGCTAAATGGGACTCGAACCGAACGTGTGACCCCACCAATCGACTCCTCGTTCGAAGAGCAATCCATTGGTGGGGTCACACGCTCAGTTCGAGTCCCATTCAGCGACTCTGAAGCTCAAAACGCGTTTCGGCCGCCTACGCCCGCCTTCTGGTCCACTGTCCACTCCCGGCACTCGCGCACTGAGCCGGGGCGTGTTCCCAGAGGTGCCGGGGGGCGACCGCGGCGGGCCTCAAGTCCATGTCCCTCACCGAAAAAGCTGGCCAGGTCGTCTTCGACGTCGTCGTGTGGCTTGGCGTCGGAGGCCGCCGTCAGGCACAGCAGCGCGGCCGCGACGCCCCACATCGAGGGCCTCGTCGAGGGCACCGGCGGCGTCGTCCCGCCGAGCGGCCGCGTCGACCCCATGGCCCGGCTGCGCTCGGTCGTCGCCCGCGCTCCGCTCGTCAGTGTCTCTGGGCCTCCCCCACGGGCCTCACGGGTCGGGTCGGCTGGTCGCGGCGGTCGCGGCCTGTCGTCTCGCGGCTCGGCGCCGACACACACTGTCCTGTGCTGCGCGGTGCCGCCGAGTACGGCGCAGGGCTCGCCGAGGTACAGGCTGCAGCGACGCGCTGTCCTGCCGAGCCACTGATAAGGACGCGCGCTGCAATCGATCATTAAGGGCCGCCGTTTTGTTGTTGTTTTTATTTTCGGCTTATCGCGCCGGCTAAGCCGCCGTCGCCAAGGTGCCTGCACTGCGCCCAGCCTGCCGGTTCCGGTTCCTGCCGCACCCGGGCTAGGCCCTGTGTCGGATCCAGAGCAGGCCTGAGGGAGGGGCGGCAAAGTAGTGCGTTTTGCCCATTTACAGTGTGACTTTTGGCCGACCTTCGTTACCATTACCATTAAGGGCTAGACCACACATGATCGTATGCGTGGTTCTGAGGCAAAAGAGAAGCCAATCCATCCCCCCTGCACACAGACACACACTGGATCCGCACCTGGCAAGGCCACCTAGGCCCGTTGGGTCCTCGAGGGAGAATGGCTGCGCTGCCATTCGAGTATCCTCGAAAGACGAAATGTCCTCCTCTGAACCTGTCTCTGGATCCGCTACTGTACCCAGGACAGTGGAACCACGGCTACGTCCTCAACGAGATCTTGACCAGTGATGTGGGGTGTTTGTCACCGGGACCAAATCACACTTGCACGAGCCTGTTGAAGAATGAATGGAAATGGTGGGTGAGGCTGAAAAACTTGTCCTGGTTAAAAGTTGACTCCTCAGCGCCCTCGGCCGCAGTGACAAACAAACGTGAGACACTGGTGAGAAATGACAATAAAAGAATCAACTGGGGTCCCCGTCCTTGGGCTCCTGGTCCTCGGCCTGGCCGTGCCCTCAAGGGGCCGAAGGCGGGGGCAGGGCAGTGCAGGCAACATACGTCTATTAGCCGGTAGCGAGCCCCTGCCATGGTCACCGAGTGGCATGGTGCGGAGCGGCGGGGCGACGAGTCATGTTGAGTGCTCTCCTCTCCAAGATGTGGTTTCGAGCGGGACGGGACGGGACGGGGCCGCGGGTGCCCTGTCGGGGCTGCGGAGCCGCGGGGCCGGCTGGCTTCGATCCTTCCTCAGCAGCTTTCCGCGGAGCGGCTCGCTGTGCCGTCATCGCTGTCGTCGCCGACATCACCATCATCGCCATCATCGCCGTCATCACCATCGTCACCATCATCACCATCATCACCGCTTTCGCCGCCATCGCCGTCATCGCCGATCACCATCATCACCGTCATCACCATCATCACCATCATCACCGTCATCACCATCATCACCATCATCGCCGTCATCACCATCATCACCATCATCACCATCATCACCGTCATCACCGTCATCACCATCATCGCCTTCATCACCGTCATCGTCGTCGTCACCATCATCACTGACAACGCCCGACGACGTCATCGCCATCATCGTGGTCCGCACCAAAGCGAGGCACGACACAGCCCAGGGCAGGGCCTTGGTCGCCATGTGCCCGGCAGGTTTCGTTGCTTCGCTCTGTCTCTCTCGCACCCCTACGGAAGGCCCGTGAGTGCGACAGAGGCAGAGCGACGCCACGACTCCTCGGAGTGGCTCGGCTGGAGCTCGTGCCACAGGGATCACGCATCGCGGCACACCCGCCGGTCCCGCCCAGCCGCCTGCCGCCATGCCGTCGAGCCGGACACCACACCCGTCGACTCACCCATGACCAACACACCGAATCACGATGATACTTCATCGCCGTCATCTCCTCGCACTCATCCCATTCACCAGACGTCAAGTATGACCACAGTCACGAGCCATCATGTCGGCAAGTTCAGAAACTGACCCGCGTCACGATCGCTGGGCACCTAGGTACGCACGCACAGCCTCCCGCGGTCACTACTGCGTCGCCCATCCCGGCAGTTCCTCGCTCTTTTTGCAACGTCTAAAACTGAAGTAAAAAAGCCTGTTGGCACAGAGGAAAGAGGACGCAACCCTATGCTCGAGCCGGAGCGTGTCCTCAGAGGGCCCTGACTCGCGGCGACACCCGCCGGCCGGCCCAGCCGCCATGCCCGCCGGGCCGTCGGCCGGGCCACCCACAACCCGTGACCTCCGCCAGGACCACGACCAGCAGCAGCCAGAATCCGAAGGAAGGTTTCGTCGCTCTGTCTCTCTCGCACTCATGGGACGGTCCGTAGAGGTGCGAGAGAGACAGAGCGATGAAAACATCCTTCGGCAGCAGAAGCTGACCGCGTGGACCGCTGGGCCTAGGTCGACGTCAGCCTTCCCGCGGTCACTGCGCGCCCACCCGGCGCCCCGCGCTTTAGCAACGTCAAAACTGAAACATAAAAAAATGTTGGCACGAGGCAAAGACGAACCTTCGTCGAGCGGAGGTTCCGCGGTTTGGCAAATCTTCCGGGCGGCCGGCCGGAAGAAGACTGACCCAGGCCGCCGCCAAGGCGAGGTCCGCGTCGCGCCGCCCCGCCGCCCCGCCGCCCCGCTGCAGATGCGCTTCCATCACGAGCAAATTTCATAAGTGGAGTTGCAGTCAATGATGCGGCCTAGGAGGTAAACACGTCGGTCATGCGCTCCGCCTGGCATCGCGATCCGCGGCCGAGCGTGGCGTGGCGTGGCGTGGCGTGGCGTGGCATGGCGTGGCGTGGCGTGGAGAAGGACCTTGTCGGCAGCAACGTCCCCTATTCCTCAAACGGCCCAGGCCTCGGCCCAGGCCGACCCGCCGCGATCCCGACCCCAGGCGTCCGACCCTGCCGACCCGAAGCCCGACCCGCGGGCCGCGGGGTTGTCCGGCCGGCCGGCCGTTCGGTTTTCGCGCGCGGCGATCTTGGAATCGAGACGACGTTTATGTGCGACTCATGACCATATAGCAGGCCGGGGCCGGGACGGGCCGGGACGGGAGTACGCAGTACGCGCACCGGGAAAACATGCAGGAGGCCATTAAGACCGCCGCGCCGCAAGGGCGGATCCAGACACGGCGTGGGGGAGGGGCGAAGCGGTGCGTTTTGCCTGCATGCAGGGGCACAGTGTCGCCTTTTGCCTATACTCTGACCAGAAACGTAAGTAGCCTTTGCTACTACAGGGAAAGTGTTGCTTTTGCCGCTGGAGATTGCAGGTGCCCTCGGACCGCGCTAGACCGCAGGGTCTGTTTTTGGTCCATACTTACGTGTAAAGTGTTGCTTTCGGCTACCAGGGTCAATGTCGCGCTGGCCAATTGCAGCTCCACAATCGGATGGGGGCAAAGTAGCACTGGTGCTATTCAAGGGCAAAGTGTCGCAAATCTTTCTTCTTCACTGTCAATGAACCATTCAGTCTTCGCCGAGTGAAGGAACAAAAGTGATCAAACCTGGGTCACACCGCTGGGACGAGAACGCGCCACCTAGCGGCCACTGCGCTCAACTTCTTCCTGACCAATCAGCGCTCAGCTGTTTACAGTTTACTGTAACTGCCGCGAGGTGGCGCGCTGCCGGCTCCTCACTTTTTGACTGCTTTTGTTCTTCACTGGCGACGACTGAAAGGACCCGTACGCACGTGCACCTTCCCTTCCCACGCAGCAAGGCAGCCTTTCCCGCGCGCGAGAGTGAGAGAAACCACCAGCGGCCACTGCCGTCTCACTCCTCTTCTCTGCTCGCCTCATGGCGTTCTCGTCCTACGAATAGACACAGCGAAAAGGTAGGCGGCGTCATAATCGGGCTGACTTGGCCCGTCCCGCTGCACTCCGACGCAACGTGCCCGTTCGCCTGTCCCGACGCGCAGGCTTGCTTGGTCCTCGGCGCAGGTGCAGCAAGATCCGAGATGTTCATCGCTCTGTCTCTCTCGCACTCATGGGGCGTTCTAAGGATGCAGAGAGAAGGACGACGAAAGACATCTCGGAATCAGTACCGCCGCGGGGCGGTGACCCGCGGCCCCTTCTTACGCGAGCCTTGACTGCACATTCCTAGTCCGCGACCCTTCCATTACCTCCTACGTGCCCGCAAGCTGATCCGGTTGCGCGAAATCCTCCTCGCCCTCATGTCGTCTCTATGCTCCTGCAGCAGCGCCACCTCTCGGATCGTCTTGCTGCACCGGGCGGTGCTCAGGCACCCAAGCAGCTGCATACCAAATTTGTCACACTTCCCACGTGAAGCCCGCATCTGAACATACAACCCCGCAACGAACGGCGTTATAGAACGAACGAAAACAACACCTCTCTCTCTCTCTCTCTCTCTCTCTCTCTCTCTCTTTCTCTCTCCCTCTCCCGAATAAAAAAGAAACGACGCGTGCCTGGCGGGTTGCCCGGCTCGCGGCTTAGATATGTTTCTCTTCCAGAAAGATGCCCCGTCCCGTGCCGTCCCGAAGCCATTACCCCCCACCCCTTCCCCTCGTTGACACCCCGGCCCGCTCGTGACCCTCCTCGCCCTCCTGCAACACTACGTTGTGCGCATTTTGATTCCATTTCTCGTTGTGAAATTTCGTGTCAAGTCGGCGTTCACGGGTGCTGTATATGCACCGTTCGTCGCCGCGAGAGGAGCGCCTCAGTTGTGTGTGTGTGTGTGTGTGTGTGTGTGTGTGTGTGTGTGTGTGTGTGTGTGTGTGGTGCGTATGAATGTGTGTCTGTGTGTGAGAGAGTGTGTCTGTGTGTCTAGGAGCATAAGTCACCTGGATGCTTCTGTCCTGAAGTCCCCTGGAGTCCTCTGGAGCGGAGGAGGGAAGGCCGAGGAGCCCCGACGACCGACACACTGGAAGACTCTACGGCGACTGGAAGGGTGGTGGGGGTTGCGCGGTGCGGCGCGGTGCGGTGCGCCACATGTACCTCTATTTAAAGGCAGCCTCCGGCGGGATGATACCAGTATCATTGCACATCCATTCGACAGCACTTCCCCCCGCGCCATGAGACTGGTGAGTGCTAGTGACCTAGATTGAAAAATTGAAGTGAAGTGACACTCGCGGGGCTCTCCAGTGAGCGCCAGTGTATCGCCCCATTCGCATCGGAAACCGCGACGCAGAACCCTTTCACCCGTGGCCCAGTGAAGAACAAAAGTGATCAAAAAAGCGAGGAGCCAGTTTCGGCCGTTAGTGTGAACGGTCAAAAGCTGAAACCTGTGTGCCCCGCACTGTGAAAATTTGAGTCGTCACTTGATGACAGTTAAAAGGCTAATTTTCCTTACAACAATGTCATCAAAAAAATTGATGACATTGTTGTCACGCCCATGCAATAAGTATAGGAGCTTTGATGAAAATGTCATCAATTTGTGATGAGATTACCATGATTTGAAAGTGATGAAAATGTCATCCGCGTTTTAGTCATAAAGTGACAACAAATTTTCACAGTGCTGCTGGTTTCTGAATTTTGTATACTTCCATTCTTTAGATCTATCGCCTCACGCTTTCAAAAGTCGAGCAACGATGGAGTTTCCCAATTCCAGTCAAAAACACAATTCAAATTTAATATTAAGTTCAAACTTTAAAAAAATAATCAAATTTTAAATTTCAAGTAAATTTTAGTTTTTGATTTGTTTTTATTTATAAGAAGGGTCCGGAAAGAAAAATATTTTCAGGTCGAAACCGATGTTGATCTGTCCTATGTCTCTCTCGGCGAATATACTCGCTAAATTCGACGGAAGGATCAGATGGGTCCAAAGAACAATCCAAAGGCTCATAAAGTACTCCGCGACCTTCATGTTGTGTTTTTTTTTCGTATATCGAGATTGAGAGGCACAAGTCCAGGACAAGAGGCATGCGGAAGACAGCAGAATCACTTGCCTTTTCGCATTGATGGACACACTTTTACCTTTCTACCAAACTAGCAGCTGTCCACAGGACCCGAGTACAAAGTAGGACCCGCTGAGAAAAAAAGTCAAGTTTCCCCGAATTCTTGTGCAAAACCCGTCACTATCGCCTGGTGGTTAGTGACTTTGTCACTTCATGGAATTCCCTTATCAGTTTTCTTCAAGCACAGCCAGGAGAGAGACTCGTAGGGAGAGAGGTGACAATCGGAGACAGGCTTTGGCTGAACCGGGCTGAACTATTGCGGTCACAGCGCTCACGGATGAACCATCCAATGATAGCGCGCTCAAGTCACTGAGTTGTCTCCCCCCCCCCCTCTCTCTCTCTCCCTCCCTCCATGTCTCTCTCTCTGTCTCTGTCTCTGTCTCTCTCTCTCTCTCTCTCTCTCTCTCTCTCTCTCTCTCTCTCTCTCTCTCTCTCTCTCTCTCTCTCTCTCTCCGAGACTCCCTAGACAGACCAGAAATCTGATTCCGAGAGTCATTTTCGTCGCTCTGTCACTCTCACTCCTATACGGGACGCCCCATGAGTGCGAAAGAGACAGATCAACGGAAACGACTCTCGGAATCAGTCCGTTGCCGTCCGGGGCGAGCGCCTGCGGCTGCGCGATGCCTCCCGTCAGGCGCGGCCGCCCGCTTGGTTGCCCACCCGCGCGGCGCACCAGTATACTGATTCCGAGAGACGCACAGTGGGCCAGAAACCGGCGAAGGCGGCCAAAATTCTAGACGCGTTTTGAGCTCCCGAGTCACTAAATAGGACTCGAACCGAACGTGTGACCCCACCAATGGATTCCTCGTCCTGAGAGCAATCCATTGGTGAGGCCACACGGTCGGTTCGAGTCCCATTTAGCGACTCTGGAGCTCAAAACGCGTCTAGAATTTTGGCCGCCTTCGCCGGTTTCTGGCCCACTGTGAGTCATGCCCGTCGCTGTGTCTCGCCCGCACCGGCCCGCACTCACAGGGCGTTACTTACAGAACTTACAGGTGTGGGAGAGAGACAGAGCGACGAAAGCCACTCTCGGAATCAGTCTTCAGGGTCAGGGTGGACCGGCGGCAGACGCCTCACCACGCTCTCCTCGACAGGTGCGGGGCACTTCCAAAGCACTCGGGTCTATGGAAATCAATCGAAACGAAGCATCACGCTGTAGTTTTCCCAGTGGGGTCGCGTCGAGTCTCTTGACGGAGGCCCGCAAAGGCATCATCGGCAGCCTTCGGGCCGCTTCGAAGCGCGTGGCTCGCGTTCGGATTGGGATTCGGATTGGCGGCGCGAGCACACTCGTAAAAGAAGAGTGAAGATGGATGGCCGCGCGTCGTCTGGGAATGAATTGAACCGGTGCGGACGGACGGCGGACGGCTCGGCCACGCACCTGGCGGGCCTCGTGCCGGAGGCTCGTTTCGTCGCTCTGTCTCTCTCGCACCCCTACGGGCCGCCCCATGGGTGCGACAGAGACAGAGCGACGAAACGGATCCCTCGGAATGAGGCGGCTGGAGGCGCGCTGCCTTATATGGCGGCGCTGGACGCACAGTGTGGGTGCCTTGCAGTGCCGTACCGCGTCGACGCGCTGCGCAACGCTATGCGCCCCGCGGCCCGCGACCGGTAGTCTCCCTCGCGCACCGGGCGCATTGCGACCAAGGCCGTCCAAGGTGAGGTGATGAGCGGCCGGCGGACTGATTCCAAGAGTCGTCATCGTCGCTCTGTCTCTCTCGCACTCATGGGGCGTCCCGTGCAGGTGCGAGAGAGACAGAGCGACGACTCTCGGAATCAGTCTGCACTGCAGCCCTGGATTGACTCGCTTTGGCTATTCGCAGCTCGCCGCCTGCATCGTGCTGGCGGGCTGCGCCAGCGCCGCCCCCGCCAAGCTGGACCAGACCTACCTGCCGCCCGCCAGCGCAGGCACCGCCGGCGGCGCCAACCTGGCCGCCCCCGCGCCGCCCCCGCAGAACAGCTACCTGCCCCCGTCCAGGAACGGTGGCGGTGGTGGTGGCGGCGGTGGAGGAGTCGGCGGCTACAACGGCGGGGCCAACCTCGCAGGCAGCAACGGCGGCGGCGCGGCGCCGGGCGGCGGCAACGCCAAGCCCATCGGCATCATCAAGCTGGAGAACGTCAACAACGGCGACGGCTCCTACATGTTCAGGTTTGAAAGAAAGCGGAACAGAAGACCTGATTCCCAGATTCGTTTCATCGCTCTGTACGCATCTCTCGCAATCATGGGGCGTCCGCTGTATGGGTGCCGGAGTGACAGAGCGACGAAAACGTATCTCGGAATCAGTCTGCTGTGCAGAGCCCAGTGGACCAGAAGACCGGTGGAGGCGGCCAAAATCCCGGACGCGTTTTGAGCTCCAGAGTCGCTAATGGGGCTCGAACTGAACCTGTGACCCCACCAATGGCTTGCTCTCCGAACGAGGAATCCATTGGTGGGGTCACGCGTTCGGTTCGGGTGCTGTTTGGCGACTCTGGAGCTCAAAACGCGTCCAGAGTTTTTGGCGCCGGTGTTCGCTGACCCACTGTGTAGTGTTAACTTCGGCCGTGGTTCGGCACCCAACTAACGCGTCCTGGACACTTGCAGCTACGAGACGGAGAACGGCATCCAGGCCGAGGAGAAGGGCGAGCTGAAGCCGGGCGGCGAGGGCGGCGAGGGCATCCAGAGCGCCGTGGGCTCCTTCTCGTACACCGCCCCCGACGGCCAGCGCATCGAGCTCTCCTACACCGCCGACGAGAACGGCTTCGTGCCCAAGGGCGCCCACCTGCCCACGCCGCCCCCCATCCCGGAGGCCATCCTCAAGGCCCTCGCGCAGAACGCCGCCGAGGAGGCTGCCGGCGGCGGCGCGTCCGACGACGGCGGCGACGGCGCGGGCTACCCCCAGGGCGGGCCGCCCAGCGGGCCCGCGCCCGCCAACGGCGGCTACCGCTACTGAGGGCGCCGCGGTGGAGTAATTTATTGTCGGTGTCCCGCCGAAAACGGGAGTGCTCAATACGCTTAATAAACGTAACTGGACCTGATTAATTTTCTTTCGAAGGGGACTAGATCCTCGCGACTGAACTTCACGCGACGAGCGCCGTCAGCAGCCTGATTCCGAGTACTGCTTTCATCGCTCTGTCTCTACCACACTCATGGCGCATCCGAATGGCCAAAGCAGCGTCGAAATCATCCTGGATCAGTCATCCGAGCGACGTCGCACAGTGCCAAGAGCGCAGGCGGCTGCAAGCGTTTTGAGCTCCAGAGTCGCTAAACAGGACTCGAACCGAGCGTGTGACCCCACCAATGGACTCCTCGTTCGGAGAGCTACCCATTGGTGGGGTCACACGCTCTGTTCGAGTCCCCATTTGGGGATTCAGGAGCTCAAAAAGCGTCCGGGATTTTGACCGCCTCCTCCAGTCTTCCGCTGGCCCACTGGGCGCCGCCGTGACCCATACCAGTGACAGTGTCACCACCAAGCAAGCCACGGCCTAGGGGGCCAAGGGGGCTGCCCCCCGCGGAGACGACGAGGTCCACGTCGTGGAGGCCTCGCGCCGCACCAGTGTGCGTCTGGCGTCCACTACGCTGTTATTAAAGTAAAACGCCGGTAAATCAGCCGAGCCGTTGGCTCAGTTTACAGCGCAGTGGAGACTTTGTATCGGAGCTTAGCTCACAAAGTCGTAGTAGTGCGGCGTACGCTGCTGCGGGCTGATTCCGAACGCAGGTCTCGCTGTCTCTCTCGCTCCCTTACGGGACGCCCCTCGAGTGCGAGAGAGACGGAGCGATGAAAGCAGTGCGCGGTGCCGGCCTGCCGCGCTGCAGCTCGCCGGTGGTCCGCGATCCGTGATGGCTGACGACGACGACGACGACGTCGACCGCCTGGACGCGGCGAGACGAGACGCGGCCGTTCTAACCTCAACAAGCTGCCGTCTGATTCCGAACACTGCTTCGTCGCTCTGTCTCTCTCGCACCCCTACGGACCGCCACATGAGTGCGAGAGAGACAGAGCGACGAAAGCAGTGCTCGGAATCAGACGGCTGCCGCAGCGCTATCGCCGTCCGTTCGGCTCCACCGCGCAGACCACTCCCTCGGCTCCTCCCTGTTACAGTGTACGGGCGCCTGATTCCGCACACACAGCGCCTCGTCGCTCGGTCTCTCTCGCAACCCAACGGGACGCCCGTGAGTGCGAGAGAGACAGAGCGACGAACACGATGTTACGAATGAAACCTTTTCTTCGTCAAAACAGAAGGATCAAACAGAAGAAACCAGCAGCGCGGCCGTTGCTGTGAACGTCTTCCAAACCAAACTTCAGATTAGGGCAGTTTACAGTGCGGGCCGCCAGGTGGCGCGCTGCCAGTTCCCGATTTTTGATCACGGTTTTCCTTCTCTTGACGACGACTGAAATGGTCTTTCGCTCTAGGGTAGGACTTAGAACTAATTGCCCACTAAGTTTGAAGGAGCAATACGTTGGAATGAATGAAGTGCGGAAATATGAAAAATACGGGAATCTTCTCTAATGATTTCTCCACGCGGGGAGGCCGCCTATAAGGTCGGGGAATCGCGGGAACCGTTGCGGTGGGGCTTTTCAGGCACTCATCAGATAATCGGCCGGGCGTAAAGCAAGACAGCGGACTGATTCCGAGAGTCGTTTACGTCGCTCTGTCTCTCTCGCACCTGAACGGACCCTCCATGGGTGCGAGAGAGACAGAGCGACGACTCTCAGGATTGGTCTGCAGAGATGGGCTCCGAGAAAAGGCGATACGTAAGAGGGTTTGTTCGCACGGGTTGTTAGTCCGAGCTATTCGGATCGCACACATCATAAAGGAAGAGAGGGGGGGGAGGTCTGCCTTTCATTTGAACTAGGACTTTGTTTTACTTCGAGCGTATCATGAGGGGGCGGAGAGGTGGGAGGGAGTAGGTAAAGGTAAAGAAACGCTGTGCATCGAACGCCGGTCCTTCCGATTGCTGACCTCAGCCTTTTTGGTCTCTCGACCACCTTCGTTTTGGTCCATCTAACTTGAACGTTTTGTCGGGGAGCTTGAATAGGGTCCGAGAAACGAGGGCATTTCTTGAGTTGGGTCCAGAGAATGGAGTGTTGTTTGGGAATGGTGATAGTTGAACAAACCGTCCAGTTTATAAATTGAGGGATCAGTACAGTGCGGTGCAGGGTAAGCAGGGAATGCAAACATAAGAGCGTGGCCAATTATACAAAAAAAATTACGTCTTTATTGAGCTCTTATTTGTAGGCTGGTAACTCCGGCGTCAGGTAACAATCGAATAAATTAACACTATCAGACCCTCCGACGGCCTCCGATGAACACATTATAAAACGGAATGTACAGGGATTTGAACACAGTGCCAAGGTCTGCCAAGCTTTAGATACTCGTCTGATAGCGCCAACGACACTATGACTAAGGCTAAGGACAGACATTTCACAAAAAAATGGTAACTTTTCTGCTTCTTGAGATCCGCCATCGCGGCTGCAGCGCGCCACTCGGAGCTTCTCGGCCGAAATGGATCGCCTCCCCCGCGAATAATGTTGGTCCGTTTCGACAACTCGCTTTCGCAATTACAAAACCGAAGATGACAACTTTCTATGACAAAGTGGAAAGTCGTGTCGGGGCGAGTCGTTGCGCGGGGAGAGAGAGAGAGATAAGATTGAGGCGTAAGCCCCGCTTCAAGGCTGCTCGCGTCCAGTGCGGCCGAGCCGAGCGGAAATGCCCGAACGAGTAATGGCGTTTGGCATCGCAGCGATTTTTCATACCGACGCGGGCGCCGTGTTCGGGAAGCCATTTCTCAGGCAGGCTCCGACGCCCCCACTTGGGGCACCCGGAGCAGAGAGACTCGCAGGGAGAGAGGTGACAACTCGGCAGGCTTTGGCGGAAACATCGAATCATCAGGCGCGGATCCAGTGTAGGGCGAAAGGACAATTGACCCCTCCGCCCCTTATGGCCTCTAGACAGGTCGCCAGAAAGGTAGGCAAAGAGCCACGCTTCGCCCCTGGAAGTAGGCAAAGAGCCACACTTTGCCCCTGGAAGTAGGCAAAGAGCCACGCTTTGCCCCTGGAAGTAGGCAAAGAGCCACGCTTTGCCCCTGGAAGTAGGCAAAGAGCCACGCTTTGCCCCTGGAAGTAGGCAAAGAGCCACACTTTGCCCCTGGAAGTAGGCAGAAGATGCTACTTAAACCTCCCCTCAGGTCGACTCTGGATCCGCCACTGCCAATCACAGTGCTGAGGCGGCTGATCCATCCAATGAGAGCGCGCTGACGTCACCGCGTCGTCGTCTCCCTCCCTGCGAGGCCCTGGAGGCGCACCCACCCGGACCTACACTGCAGCCCAACGAACAGTCAGTCGGTGGTGCTCAGTACTGGTAGCCGCCGTTGCTGGGGCGGCCGGAGGGGTAGCCGCCGTTGCCGCCGCCGGCCGGGCCGGACGGGTAGCCGCCGTTACCGCCGCCCGCGCCGATGCCGTTGTAGCTGCCGTCGTCCACCACACCGTTGGCCTCGTCCGCCGCGTTCTGCGCCAGGGCGCGCTGGATGGCCTCGGGGATGGGCGGCGGCGTGGGCAGGTGGTCGCCGTACGCCAGGAAGCCGCGCTCGTCGGCGGTGTACTGCACGGAGTAGCGCTGGCCGTCGTCGGGCGCCGTGAAGGAGAAGGAGCCCTGGGCGCTCTGGATGCCCTCGCCGCCGTCGGGCTTCAGCTCGCCGCGCTCCTCGGCCTGGATGCCGTTGTCGGTCTCGTAGCTGCGGCATGAAAAAGGCGATGTCACATTAGCCGAGCGCACAGCGCATCTGCATGCTGATATTAAGGTTCCCGGTTCGAGTCCTGGTCGGCGTTTTGTTTTTGCCGGGTAGAAACCGTGAATTACTAACGCTGGCGGCCGCGAGCCAAGCCGGTCTAAATATAAGCGAATCGCGCGGCGTTTTGACAGGTGGACGTGTGTCTGTGTGTGTTTGCCCTACTCCGGGCCGCTCTCGTGACCCGGCCGTCCTGCCTGCTAATGGACTGGGAGGGGAGGCCCGCACTGCCCGCAGCTCGACGCCAAACAGAGCCTCTGTCTCTCTCGCACTCGCGGGGCGTGCCGCTGGGCCGCGAGAGAGACGGAGCGGCGGTGCCTGGCGTGGGGCACGCTTACGCTGCGGTAACGGGCAGCGGGCAGCGCTGACGCCGATCTCGTCCATTCATCTCCGCGCTGGACAGAAGCAGCGCGCTGTCTCTCTCGCACCCGTGCGCCCTTGCGGCACGCCCCGTGAGTGCGAGAGAGACAGAGGCACTGCCCTGCAAGCCAGCACACTAATAGGCGCAGGGCTTCCGCCTTCGCTCCACTACACCCTTTCTTTTTTTCCTCCGTCCAGCAAAGCCAACACTCTGCGACAAAGCAGCTCTTGCTCTTACGCCCCTCCGCGTAGCCCGCCCGCATGACCCCCCCCCCCCCAGCTCGACTTGTTGACATGACGGATGGCCTGGGACGCTGCCAAGGAACAACTGGACTCCGCGGCCGAGCGACCGAGACTCGCGCGCGCGCGCGGGAAAAGTTCAAATGTTCAAATATGCGCGCGCTGCGCACTGCACTGGCATAAGGCGCAAAGACGTACACGCCCCAGCCGCGCCTATGGCGGCCGAGGGTCGACTGGGGCCCAGTCACTGGGCGCCACAAAGCGACGACGGCCCGGAATGCACACCGAAAGGGCACTGCGAAAAAAGCAGCAGCAACAACAACAGCACTAACATCACTAACAACAACAACAACAAGCGCTATACGCGAGAATTAGTCCAATTATTCGGCATGGTCGGCGCTCTGCTGACCTCCTTGGCCGCGGGGTATAAGAGGCGTCAGGGCCGTTAAATAAATCAGGGCCGCAACCTGGCCGGCCTGACGGCAGTCATAAACGCGATAAGGGGATAAGGGGACCGCGGACGCGCGGCCCATCCCATCCCTCGCGGTGCGGTACAAAGCCGCGAGATGGCGCCGCACTAAGCAGACTGACTCCGAGAGTCGTTTTCGTCGCTCTGTCTCTCTCGCACTCATGGGGCGTTCCATAAAGGTGCGAGAGAGACAGAGCGACGGGGACGACGCTCGGAATCGGTCTGCTGCGGCTGCAGACCGCGGCCTTGCGAGGGACCGCACCGCGCCGCGCCACCTGCTTCTAATTGGACCGCATCACCTTTGCCGCGCGCCGCGCGCACGCACCGCACGCCGGTTCCGAACGCTCCATTCCACCGCTCTGTCTGTCCCCCTCGCACTCATACTCACACCCTTGTGTGAGTGCGAGAGAGACAGAGCGACAGTTTTTCGGACTCGGCCTGCCGGCCGCGCTATCGGACTGCACTACGTCCTGCGGGAGCGTCTCGCGCGTCCTCGCCCGCGGCGTCGCGGCGCCGCGATGTGCCCAGTGTGGTGGCGAGGCGAGCACGCGGGGCGCCCGCGCAAGGAGACTGATTCCGAACTGTCGCCCTGTCTCTCTCGCACTCGCGGTGCGTCCCGCAAGGGTGCGAGAGAGACAGAGAACGACTCTCGGAATCAGCCTGCGGGCGCGCGAGGAGCAATTGGCACCGTCCTGCTGCTCGCCGCACGAGTGTTGCATCGAGTGCTGGACGCAGCGGGGGCGCGCAAGTGCACCGCCTCGCCGCGCCGCGCCAAACTCGTTCAAATGAAGCTTTTGTTCGCGGCTCTTAGCTAACAACGAATCCTGGCAGCGGCCCAGCGTGGCCCGGCGTGGCCCGTTCGTCATACCCGCGCGCGGCGAGGCGAACGCGGCGCGCTACCGCCCGATCAGGAGGCTGATTCCGAGAGTCGTTTTCGTCGCTCTGTCTCTCTCGCACTCATGCGCACCCCGTATAGGCGCGAGAGAGACAGAGCGACGAAAACGACTTTCGGAATCAGTCTGCAGCGACCGTCGACAAGAGAAGTGCGAGTCGTACCTGAAGGTGTAGGTGCCGTCGCCGTTGTTCTCGTTGACCTGCTTGATGATGGCGACGGGCCGTCCGCCGGACCCTCCGTTGCCGCCGCCGAAGCCGCCGCCGTTGTAGCCGCCGCCGCTGCCGCCGAAGCTACCGCCGCCGCTGCTGAAACCGCCGCCGCCGCCGCTGCTGTAGCCGCCGTTGCTGCTGTAGCCGCCGTTGCCGCCGGAGGTCGGGGGCAGGTAGCTGTTGGTGGGGGCGGGGGCGGGCCGCCTTGGCGGGGGTGGGGGAGGTGGGGGCGGCGCGGCGGGGGGTCCGTATGAAGGGGTAGGCGCCCTGTTGGGGGGCAGGTACGAGCTGATGGGTCTACGCGGAGGGGACGGGGGCGGGGGAGGAGGGTTGTTTCTCCTGGGGGGCAGGTACGAGTTCTGCGGGGGTGGCGGGGGGTTGTTTCTAGGGGGAAGGTAGGAGTTCTGAGGGGGTGGTGGGGGGTTGTTCCTCGGGGGAAGGTACGAGTTCTGAGGAGGAGAAGGCGGCCTGTAAGAAGGCGGGGCGAGCCCGGAGCCCCCGGCGGTGGCGGCGTTGGCGGGCGGCAGGTACGTGTTCTCCAGACGGTCGGCGGACGCGAGCCCCGCGGCCGCGGCCAGCAGGAGGGCCCATGCCTGTAGACAGAGAGAGACGCGTGTTACACATACCCGTGGGCAGAGGGAGAGAGAGGGGGGGGGGGGATCTAGAGACGCGCTGCGAGCAGCGCGACACAGCCTGGTGAGCGCTGCCGTCCCGGGCGTGGCCGGGCGGGGCGGCGCGCGGCGGAGCGCCTGACGAACAGAGGGTAGGCCACCACGCGGTACAGCCCGGTTCGGCGGGCCGGCCCACCCCGCGGCCGTCGGGCGCTAAGGCACGCTAGGCACGCCAAAGCCGCGCCACTCTGCCCGCATTAGGGGTAATGGGCATGCAATGTGGATCGTGCTGAGGACCGCCTCGCCCGGCCGGGCAAGGCCTGGCCAGGGCGTATCCATCAGGCAGCCGGCCCGCCCCCGCCACACCATGCGGGGCAATTCCGAATCGTCGCTCGGTCTCCTTCTCACCCTGCGGGCTGCCCTGTGAGTGCGACAGAGACAGAGCGACGAAACGAGGCTTTGCACAGTGGGCCAGAAGACCAGTGGAGGCGGCCAAAACTCTAGACGCGTTTTGAGCTCCGGAGTCGCTGAATTGGACTCGAACCGAACGTGTGACCCCACCAATGGATTGCTCTCCGAACGAGGAATTCATTTGTGGGGTCACACGTTCCGTTCGAGCCCTGTTTAGCGACTCTGGAGCTCAAAACGCGTCTAGAGTTTTGGCCGCCTCCACCGGTCTTCTGGCCCACTGTGCTTTGGAATCCCCCTGTCCAGCGCCCCGCCCCCGCACTGCCCCTCGCCCTGCAACCGCACTGCCCCGCCCTGCCCCCCCCTGCCCCCCGCCCTACTGACCGGCTGTCGTGTCTAAGGTGTGCCAGGCCACCAACATTGCGTACCCGCTGGGCACACACGCACACACACTCACACACGCACCCGTTTTCGAAATTGATATGGAATGCCGTGCGGCCCGAAAGCAATATGGCACGCACACACACACACACACACACACACACACACACACACACACACACACACAAACACACATTAGAATAAGACTCCGGACGTGCAGCACTGTGTTGCCGGCATGGCGCATGACGGAGTAGACTCTGTCCGACAGTGATACGGCACCGTAAAACAGATCGAGCGCCACGCGCCCCAAATTAATCACGGCGGCAACAATGGTCGCTGCCAAGCGCGCGGCGTGCACGCAAAACGCACCGGAGCGATTACGTTCGCAAATGGAAAAAATAAATATGCGAAGGGAAAAAGAAACAGTAGCGGAACTGTTTTCCTAGTCGTGGAGCGTGGAAGAACAGGGCGCGGCTCGTCTTGTCTAGGGGGCTGGAGAGGCCTAGTCTCGTCCGTCACGGCGTCGTCGGCGACCTGGACAGCGACGACGGCGAGCTCGGCGTCGAGCGATCGAATTATAGGGGCATGTTCATTAGACAGAACAGCAGCGGCGGCAGACTGATGCCGGAGCGTCGTTCTGTCTCTGTCGCACTTATATGGCGTTCCGTAGGGGTGCGAGAGAGATAGAGCGACTGTTCGGAATCGCTCGGCAGCCCTGCTGAAGGAGGATGGCTGGGAGAGCGCCCTGCTCGACCTGTACACCGATTCCGAGAGTCGTTTTCGTCGCTCTGTCTCTCTCGCACTCGTGGGGCACGCCGAATGGGTGCGAGAGAGACAGAGCGACCCCCGTTCAGTCTTCTGCCCCGGGAGCACGCTGCAGGCTGCGGCACTGGCGGGGCGGTAGCGTGTCTAAGTCTCAAACTAACGGCCACGCCGTCGCTACACTGCGAGGCACTGCACTGGGAGGCACTGCACTGCAAAGGCTCTGCACTGCACACCGTGGAGGGATTGCCGCCGCCAACCCAGCGTCGATGACGATCATCATTTTGCCGGCGATGTCACGCGCGTTTTCAACGAGTTTCCAATGCGCCACGCTCGCCGCGGGGTCAGCCGGCGGGGGCTCGCCGCTCTGTCTCTCTCGCACCCTTACGGGACGCCCCGCGGGTGCGAGAGAGACAGAGCGACGACAGCGGCGTGTGTTTGGAATAAAGTACCAGCCCGCAGGCGCGGCGCGGCCGCGGGGGCGCCTGCTCAAAGTGTCCGCGATCTAGTCGGTGGTTGCAGCGGCGAGGGGACGGGAGGGTCAAGCGGCAGGCCAGCAGACTGATTCCGAGAGTCGCTTTCGTCGCTCTGTCTCTCTCGCACTCATGGGGCGTCCCGTAAGGGTGCGAGAGAGACAGAGCGACGAAAACGACTCTCGGAATCGGTCTGCGCAGCCTGGCCAGCCTATAGCCCAGCTCGACGGGAATAATTATGATTATTCGTCGTCCAGTGTGGGGCACCGTGGAACAAGTGCGGCGAGCGGCCAGGCCGGCCGGGCGCAGCGGGGGGCGGCGCTACCGTCCCGGGGCACGTCACGCCTCTCGCCCGTGTGTGTGTGTGTGTGTGTGTGTGTGTGTGTGGTGTGTGTGTGTGTGTCTGTGAGTGCGCATGTGTGTTCGCGTTAGTGTAAAGTAGCGCTGGACACGATGATCAACGGGCTACCAAAACAAATAGGGAGCACGTGTGTACGTTCGGATTTACTGCAACGCCTCGCTAACGATGCACAACCCGCACAGGTAAACGGGGACAGCCACATTAGCAGCAGTCCGTCAGCGAGAGAGAGAGAGAGAGAGAGAGAGAGAGAGAGAGAGAGAGAGAGAGAGAGAGAGAGAGAAAGAGAGAGAGAGAGAAACAGAAGGGATAGATAAATAAACTCATGTAATAAAAAGGAACACACGCACACATGTGTGGCGTACTGATCGCCTCCAATAATCCTCGGACCGCTCGTAGCACGGGAATTGGGTCATTGTCTCAATCTAGACACACACACACACACACACACACGCATTACGCCACGACTACTGCATACCGCTCCACCCACACGCGCCCCGCCCCGCCGATTCTGCTCGTCGATTCGGATCCCTCCAATTTAATTCCCAGACAGAGACGCATGCGCACGTGATGGCCCAGGGCGCGGGCGGCGCGGGCGGGGGAGAGTGGCGGCGGTGCGGGCTGCGGGTTCGAATCCCACCAGCAGCCGCCACCGCCGAAAAGGTGCGGGAGAGGGGAGGGGAGGGGGAGAGGGGAAGGGCCTAGCAGGTGTGTGGGAACCGCGCTTCGCAAACTAGCCCCCGAATAATCGGATTTCTCCCTCCCCCCCCTCCCCTACTCCCCCTTTCCCTGCGCACAACTCCGTGACTGCGCGACGCCCAAGTTAGTTGCAGCGCGCGAGGCGCCAAAACTTGGAATATCACCGAGAAACTCGCCGAACATGCAAATCCACGGCGACTGCAGCGAAGCCCGTTCAACGCGCAGCTTGTCATGCAGGGCGTGTTGCAGGGCGACAGGCGACCAGTCAGTCGTTCTCGTCGCTCTGTCTCTCTCGCACTCATGGGGCGTCCCGTATAGGTGCGAGAGAGACAGAGCGACGAAGACGACTGCAGCCGGCTGGTAATTATCGGCGAGTCATCCGTCCCTTCACTCGGCGCGTACCGACCAGTCGAGCGGTGCCGCCGCCCGCACTCCTCGCTCTGTCTCTCTCGCACCTCAACGACACACTCCGCAAGAGCGAGAGAGACAGAGGGAGGAGCGCGGGCGATGAGTGCGGCCACAGGCCTTCGGAGGCGGCTGGAAAAAAGACGCCGCTAACAACTGGTTACATCTGCCGCCTCGCGTCTGTCTCGCGTTCCAGCGCGGCCGGGGTTGATTCCAGAGAGTTGTTTACGTCGCTCTGTCTCTCTCGCACTCATGGGATGCCCCGTACGGGTGCGAGAGAGACAGAGCGACGAGAACGACTCTCGGAATCAGCCTGCTGGAGGTCCCTGGAGCAGCGCGGAGGGTTCCGGCCTCAGGGCTGGAGGACGCGGCACGCACACAGTGTGCACTCCGTGTTCAAACAAATCCAGGGCGCGCGGCCGAGCTAACTTACTGCAAGACTGAGTTCGTCCTGCCCGGTTTTGCCTCCCTCACGTCGAAACGGGACGCCCTATGAGTGCGAGAGAGACAGAGCGACGAAAACGACTCTCGGAATCAGTCCGCTGGAGCGGGCTGGCGGCGGGCCGACTGGAGCGGAGTGGACGCACGGGGGGACAGGGGCGACTCCAGTTGGACTCCAGGGCACGGCCAAGGTCGCACGCGATTCGGAGAGAGGACCCTGCGGACGAGACTGAAAGGAGTCAGGCCCTGCGTGCCTTGCCGCGCGCGTCCTCGCCCTCGTCCTTCCAGGGTCCCGGGTCCTCGGTTCAAGTACGCGCACTCCTTTCGTTTTCGTTTTCGGCTCGTGATTGCCGTGCCGGAGACTGATTCCGAGCACCGTCGCTCTGTCTCTCTCGCACCCATAGGGTTCGCCTCATGAGTGCGAGAGAGACAGAGCGACGACTGTCCCCCGCAGGGCGGCGCGCGCGCCGCTTCGGCGCTCTGGGGGACTTGGAAGTTTCGCACACCGTTAGCACCTGAAGAGAGCCGGGGGTGGGGGTGGCCCAGTTTAGCCTCATGAATGAGCTTGTTAGAGGAGCGGGCGAAGGTGGCCGTCGCCGCCCCACTGGTGCCTTCTTATCCTGGCCGTCTCTTTCCCAGGGCCCGGTGGTCCAGCTGGACCCGACCGACCCCGCCCAGCAGACTGATTCCGAGAGTCGTTTTCGTCGCTCTGTCTCTCTCACCCACACGAAGCGCCGCATGAGTGCGGGAGAGACGGGGCGACGAAAACGACTCTCGGGCTCAGAGAGCGCAGCGCCGCGGGGCGACACATTGATGCAGCGTCACACCTTCCTTCGCCGGCACCGCCGCGGAAAGCAACCGGCGAGAAACCGAAAACGCCACAACACTTTTGCAGGTAGCCGCACTCGAACCCACGACCCGCCACGACCGCACGCAGACGGCCGCTCACATGTCCGTCGTGCGCAAATCTGGTCCGGTTGTTCTCGCGCAATGCCGGCCGATTGCACCGCGATTGTGGCGCGATTGCAACGCTTGCAAGGCTCGCTCGGGCCGTCGCACGCGCGCTGCACTGTGGGCCAGCCATAGGCCGACCTGGCCAAGGCAGGCCCAATAAAACACCCCCGAGACCGGCCGCGCGCCCCTGCCCGTAGCGCCCTGGCAATAATGAGACTCTAGAAATTACAAACAACAACAACAAGAGAGCAACAAGAGAGAAAGGGGAGGGGGGTCGTAAAACAGTCGCGTCGCACGCCGAGCATCTCTGCAGATGGAACGATAGCGGCGTTGTACAACATCGTGGGACAGGGGTGGCTCGATCCGCCCGGCCGGCCGGCCGGTCGCGAGTCCTTACAGCCAGCACACTGATTCCGAGAGTCGTTTTCGTCGCTCTGTCTCTCTCGCACCTATACGGAGCGCCCCATGAGTGCGAGAGAGACAGAGCGACGACGCTCGGAATCAGTCTTCTGGCGCCGCCGTGCGGTGGGGGCGTTTAGTGCACACCAAACCGGGCCGCGTGTCACGCCGAGACTGCACTGCAACTTGGCCGCGGACGCAACAACAACAACAACGGTGCGCCGGCACCCCTACAAGGGGCAGTCCGGACCACTTTGCAGTGCAGTGGGTCCGCGAACCAACAACAACAACAATAAAAGCAAACAACTTTGGCGGGCGGTGCTCTTATCCCGGATTCCCGGATCCATGCCGGCTGACGCGCGGACAGAAAGAAAGGAACGCGGAGACAAAAGTGTGGCAGGAAGCGACCACGCCGCCCCACGGTCGCCCGCGGCGTTGTCGCGGGAGAGAGAGGGAGAGAGAGAGAGGGAGAGAGAGAGAGAGAAAGAGAGAGAGAGCGAGAGAGAGAGAGAGAAACCGTTCACACATCCATCGCCGTCGACGCGTGACGCGACGCCCGAAATCCGAAAGCGCGAACACAGTGTAGCGCCTTTTGGGTTTGACGGCGGCGTTGGCGGGGGCGAGAGAAAAGGCAGGCCGCGGAATTTCTCGTAAAAAGCGTGTGCTAACAAGTAGCGCCGTGTACGACACGCGGTGTGTCGCGTCGCGCCGTGGGGCTGCACACTGATTCCGAGAGTCGTTTTCGTCGCTCTGTCTCTCTCGCACTCATGGGGCGTCCCGTGTAGGTGCGAGAGAGACGGAGCGACGAAAACGACTCTCGGAATCAGTGTGCAGGAGTCTAGTCCGGCCGGTGGCCGGTCAGCGGGTTCCAGAGGCTTAATGGTGGCCTGTGGCGGCCGGTAAGGATCACGCCAGCCTTTCACCCAACTGCCGAGGGGTGTGACAGACGGCCACGTCGTCGCTCTGTCTCTCTCGCACGCAAGGCGCGTCCCCATAAGGGTGCGAGAGAGACAGCGATGTCGTCGCTCTGTCTCCCTCGCACCCACGACGCGGCACGTAGGGGTGCGAGAGAGACAGCAGCGGACTCCAGGCGGGCGGCGCGGAGGATGCGGAGGACGACTCGAAGACATTACTGGGGGCCTTGGTCACGTTGACGCGATCGAGTGCGGGTTGCGGGTGCCCCGAGGGGCTGCAGGCCGCGGCGGCTGGGCTTGGCTCGGGCGCTGCAGACTGATTCCGAGAGTCGTTTTCGTCGCCCCGTCCCTCCCGCACTCACACACACCCTTCAGGTGCGAGAGAGACAGAGCGGCGAAAACGACTCTCGGAATCAGTCTGCTGGAGCACACAGAAAGGCCGTCGCCGCGGAGTCCCGCGGTGTCCGTCCTCGACGCGGCCTGGCGCGGCCAGCCCAGCCAATTTGAACCTCAATCCGAATCGCACGCCACGCCGCGCCGCGCCCAAAAACGGACCAAGGCGAGCCAAGGCCTGCTAAGCAGAGTGGCCGCGCTTCACGAAGACACCGCACTCAATCACGGGGCGGCGAGGCGAGGCGGCAACGAGGGGGCGTGGCCCACGGCGCGGTCCACGAGTACGCGGGGCCGCGGAGCGAGTACGCGGCGGCAGCCTCAACGCACCTTTTTCGTCGCTCTGTCTCTCTCGCACCGACACGGCCCGCCCCGTGGGTGCGAGAGAGACAGAGCGACGAAAGCAGCTGAGCTGCGTTCGGCCCGTCCGGCCATTCCGGGCGCGCGAGCGGAGCGCGAGGATGCGCGCGATGACTGTGTTTGCGGCCAGCCTCGCTTTCACGGCCGCGCCGACGCGAAAATTGAAACGAGACCGTCAATTTTCAAAGATTGAAACGAAAACTATTTTTTTTTTCGGTGCCTTGGTGCGAACATGAAAATAATGGGCACGCGAAACTTTGTTGGTGTTCAAAATTTCGAAATTCACCGGCAGAACTAGAGCGATACCTTTATGCCTCTCTCCAAGCTGAGTGGTTGCTACACCGAGAAAACCTTACAAACTATTTTGGGCCTTACAAAGGCAATCAGTTTGTTGAAACAAAGTATTTTGAGCATAAGCTTACAAAGAAAATACTTGATCGTAATTTACGAACTATTTCTTCGTATAACAAAGTAAATTAGTTTGTTATATGTATGCTCAAAATACTTCGTAAGGTTTTAAGCGTGTATGCTAGTATGCTCGGCTTCGAGCCTCCCGTTCCGCTCCTCCATCATGGGAGAATTTCTTCTACGCTTGACCTAAACCGTCTTCAAGCGTAGTTGTATGCTCGAATGAAGCACACAAGCGCGCTTCAAGTTTCATCAGTGTTCTGCTCTCGGTCGAGATAGTCCGCGCGAAAACGAGCGAATAGCCCTGGAGTGGAGAGACCGGCGTCGGCGACCACTCCGGCCGGTCCGCGGCCGACGCGGCACGCACTTTGACCCCCGCGGCGTCGTGCCCGTCCTGGCCGTCGTGTAGACCGTCGTGTAGCTGGCCGGCCGGGCCGCGGGTGGCGGGTGACAGGCCGCCGTCCGCTCACCTCGCGTCGCGAGTCGCGACCCCACGGCGCGGCGTGGCGTGGCGTGGCGTGGTGCGGGGATGACACCGTCCAATTCACTTTCCAGCGGCCGATTGGCTGACCGGACCGTCCCAAGGACCTTCAAGGACCCCCTTTTACTTTTCGCCTCAAAGACGTTTCGCCGAACGGCAGGGCACGGCGCGGCACGACGGCACGGCGTGGTACGGCACGCCACGGCACGGCACACCACGGCACGGCCCCTCCGAATCGAGGAGCGGCGGGTTCGCGAAGGCCGGCGTATTGTGAAGCGGATCGAGCAGACGACGCGATCGTCTTTTGTCTCGGCTTTAACGGTGTGGTGGTCCGTTATGGCTTGACGCGGCTTGGCGGGATTTTGCAGTGCTGCCGCGGGGACTGCCTGCAGTGCCAATACGCGCCAGGAAGCAGACGCGGCGGCTTAGAAAGACGATAATCTGGAGGTAATGATGGAAGATCCTCCTACAAGGGGGGGGGGGGGGGGGGGGGGGAGGGGAGAGAGAGAGAGAGAGAGGCGAGACGGGACGCGACAAGGGGTGGTTCAATGGTTCCGAGGACGGCGCGCCGAAGCTCCCGGCGCTGAGAGGTCCAGATTGGGAATTAGGAGGACGGTGAGCACGCCATGCGAATATCCAGGGGATTTTTTGGGCGATTGGGGGGGGGGAGATACGCTCGTTTCGCCACCGGTAATTGGCGTGAATCAAAACAACAAAAATCCTGAATCATAAAAAAAATCATTGGAAATCATTAAAAATAAAAAAAATGAAAAAAGTTAAGCCTATGAAACTAGTGAATTCATAATGTTATTGGTTCAACTATAAATAAGAGTTGATAAAGAAAAACGCAGTCACCGCCCCACCTCCACAGGGGGAAGGTGGGGAAAAAAATGCAGGGTTGCAAAAGTACAATACAACCCTTATGGAGCTGATATCCTGGCTTTTTGATCATCGATCAAATATTTCATTTTTTATTCAAATTTAACATACAAATTTGAGAGCGAGATCCTTGTTAAATGGATTTTGAGCAGAAGGGGTGAACTTTTCTACCTCAACCTACCCTTAATCCTTTTAAGGGTCGATCCTTTGTTTTTCACTGTTGTTCGCAATGGCGGGGGTTCCGATCCAAACACAAGAAGATCACAACACACACACACACACACCACACACACACACACACACACACACACACACACTCGCAACCGCGTAGCAGGCAGGTCGCGTGGACACTTACGGCGAGCATGGTGGTGGCGTTAATCCCCTTTGTGGCGGTGCACTGCTAGTTCTTGCTCTGCTCGCTCTGCTTGCACTGGGCGCGCTGCGGCGACGCACGCAGTGACGGCAGTGGCGCGGTGCTGGCCGGTCAAATGATTCGAGCGGACTGCGGCGGTGGCGGCTGCACCTTCGTTATATAGCGCGAGTTCCTGATGGGTAGACTGGGCCGCTACGCCACGCGGCCAGACCCGCCCCGCCCCGCCCCGCCGCTTGCCCCTCCCGCCGCGGACCCCGCCCCGCGGTATGGCCGGCCGCCCCGCCCTCGCCGTCCTGCAGGCCGAGGACCGTCGCTCTGTCTCTCTCGCACCCCTTCGGGACGCCCCATGGGAGCGAGAGAGACAGAGCGACGGCCAGCGACAAGGAGGAGCGCGCGTCCGGCGGTCAGCGAGGGCAGCCTGTGGGAATCTGCTCGTCAAGACATTACACCTGCTGCACCGGCCCGCCCGGCCCCTCGAAATGAGAAACAACACGAAACAGAAATTAAAGCCTCGGACTCCCGGATGACAGCCGCCCGATTCCGGAGGACCGTTCTGTCTCTCTCGCACTCGTCGGGTGTTCCGTGAAGGTGCGAGAGAGACAGAGCGACGAAACGGTCCTTCGGAATCCGGCGGCTGGAGCGACTGGAGCGACTGGACCGCAGGGCGGAGTGCGTTCGCCTTCCACTGCACTGCACACGCCCTGAAAGTGCCGCCAGCGGTTTTCAAGTTCACTGCCCCGCACTGCGCTGCTCGCTGTTCACACGCAACATTACATCACGCCGCATTTCCTCCTCCAAATAACTTTATTTTCTGACGAGTTGTTCGTCCGTCCGCCTCGTCTTCCCTGCGGTCTTCCCCGCCCCTCTTCCTCCTTTTCCTCCGCCGTGCGTACGTGTAGCATTGGCGCGGCCCTGTATTGGCGCGCGTGCGCCGCGGCCACGCGCCGCCCGTCTAGAGAGGCTGCATCGTGGTCTGGAGAGGCTACATGATGGTTTAGAGAGGCTAGACATGATGGTCCAGAGAGGCGGCATGATGGTTTAGAGAGGCTGTAGGATGGTCTAGAGAGGCGGCAAGATGGTTTAGAGAGGCTGTAGGATGGTCTAGAGAGGCGGCATGATGGTTTAGAGAGGCTGTAGGATGGTCTAGAGAGGCGGCATGATGGTTTAGAGAGGCTGCATGATGGTCTAGTGGGGGTGCATGATGGTTTTGAGAAGCTGAAGAATGATCTAGTGGTGGTGCATGATGGTTTAGAGAGGCTGAAGAATGATCTAGTGGGGGTGCATGATGGTTTAGAGAGACTGCATAATGGTCTAGAGGGGCTACATGATGGTCCAGAGATGCTGCATTATGTTCTAGAGAGGCTGCACGATGGTC